TAAATTTTTTTGTTGATCACAATTATGTGCGCAAATATTTTTTTGCAGATCATAAGATCGTCGAATTTCCAACACTGCATCTATCTATTTATATATTTGAATTTTACAGGCTATTTTTAATTTTTTAGACTCGGTTTATTCTAATAAAATGAACGGAGGGATTATTTCTATTTGAACTTGAACTTTTACCCTTAACCAGTAACCGGTTAATTCAAAATCCTTATTGGTCAAAGGATTTTTTACAGGTAGAAAAAAGCCAAGCATTAATTTTATTGCAACGCGTATATCTTCTGATATAATTTTTTTTTTTTTGGAGAAAAAAAATCAACAAGTCTTTATATTCCAATGTATGTATCATCGTTCATACATCAATTATGATTTGTCTAATAGTAAACATCACATCAATCCATTTATCTCAACCATCATACAAAAATGATCAGAGTTAAATTTAAAGTTTGGAATTGAAGTTCCAATTTCTTCTTCTTTTGGCATCTTCAATAATTTTGTGAATTTTATTCTATTATCATCATTATCATTATCAAGAATATAAAAGATGTAATCTAAAGTTCCTTTAAAATATAATCCATAACTTGTATACTTGGGTTCTGAATGCTTAACATTTTCTGGATCAACATATTTGTAATATTCTCCGTAAATTGATATACATCTAGGTAACTTGGAAAATGTCGAAAGAAGTGTAGGTATTGTCATCAATGATGTATTTGGTGTTGATTTTGTTGCTTGATCCTTGTTTGTTTCTCCTATTTTTTGGTTTTCATCTTCACCAAACGCTCTCATGGAAGTTTCTAATTGAGTTATTTTCTCTTTTGATAACAATCTTTTTACAATCAATTGATAAATTGGATCTTCTGGTGAGGTATTAAAATCTATTTATGGTTTATATTAGTAACATTAATATACGTGTATATATATAATACTTATATTCTTATTGTATATAGGTGCTAATGATGTTAGTATGATACAAGAAGCAAATGTCGGAATTGGTATTGCTGGTGAGGAGGGGCGTCAAGCAGCAATGTCAGCAGATTTTGCTGTTGCACAATTTAGATATTTGGAAAAACTTTTACTTGTTCACGGACGTTGGTCATATATCAGAATATCAGAAATGATTTCTTGTTTTTTTTACAAGAATATTGTATGGACAATTGCAATGTTTTGGTATCAAATCTGGGCTGGGTTTTCTGCACAATATCTTTATGATTATACATACATCATGCTTTATAATCTTATATTTACAGCAATTCCTGTAATGTATTTGGGTGCATTTGATCAAGACGTTGATTCAAAAACTTCTTTAAAAAATCCACAACTTTATAAACGAGGCATTTTACAACAAGATTTTACAAAATCCAAGTTTTGGTTATATGTAATGGATGCAGTCTATCAATCGCTCATTTGTTTTTTTGTTCCATACGGACTACTCCAATTTGGACAATCTCATCGCACAGGGTTGACAAACAACAGTTTAGATGATTTAGGAACCGTGGTGGCAGGATCAGTAGTGGTAACAACTAATTTATACGTTGGAATTAACACTTTGAATTGGTCATGGATCGGATTTTTGGTTATTGCTGGCAGCATCTTATCATTTTATTTATGGGCAGAGCTTTATTCCATAGTGTATTCAATAGGATTCTTTAGAGTGGACATAATATTATTTTCTGATATAGAT